CTTCTAATATAATAGGTGAGTCCATCAAGATTGTTAAAATATTTTTTGGAAAAAAATATTAACAAAAAAAATGGTGGAATTTTATTTTTTTTTAAATTCGGATTGGATTATCGGATCAGATATCCGATAACATAGCAAATCGGATATGATTTTAACAATCAAATATCCGTTGGATTATTTAATCAGATCGGATAGGATAATTTTTATTAACGGATCGGATCGAATTTGGACAGATGCGCTCCATATCCGATCTATTTACAGCCCTAGATACAGGGCAACTCTTCACAGGGGCCTCACAGGCTCCTCACTATAGCAGCAGGCCCCACCTAAAAAAAGGCGTTAGGCCCCCATGTGTGTAGCCTGGCAAACAGGCCTATGTAAGTGCAGCATCATTCTTTACTATTCAATAATGCTACCCAGCCATTCCGCATGACACTCGACTTGACCACATGAGGTGAAAAATCTGTTGAAAAAAAATAAATAAATAAAGAAAGAACTGGGCCAAGTCTCCCCGTTTTGAAATTCAAATTTTAAAATTGTTTGATACCCAGCCCAAAATGCTTACCCGATTCACTCCAAATCAATACCCTTTTCATTTCACAAACGGGGAGTCACTGCCCTAATCTGATTTCCTCAACTTTGCAGCACTGATTGATGCCGCTCTAGCTCCTCGATAGAGACACTGTCGAAGACCATGGAATCCATGTTGCCGATATGCTCGCTCTTCCATTTCTAAGACATTCGATCGCTTGTTGTTGACTTGTAGCTGTTACCGCCCATCTTCTCCGACCAAATCTGGAGAAAACTCAAGTATATATGTATATATATTAAGTGAGAATCAAGTACATGAAGTCACAAAGATCTATTGGGTTGGTTCACAATTGTACACCTATAAATGGGAAAACTTCGCCTTGTTGGACATTATTTATGAAAGTGGGTTCGAGCTTTCATGTGCTTGATACTTGTGTGTGAGTATGCAACGACAAGCTTTACCTTAAAGTGTGTGTGTACATATTTGGTCGTTATTTATTTTAACAACACTCTTTCGTTGAATTTTTTTATTTTTGTGTGAATTTGGTCTCAAGATTTAAGCTGGTTTTAACACAAGTTTTCTTGTAGTGAATGGTTCTTCCAAGTATAATTCTTGCATAGTTACTAAGACTCAAAAGGTCGTATGCCGTCATGTTCACCAATGTAGCAAAGCGTTGACACATTTTGTCGTACCTCAATTGTTCGGGAGTACTAACCATACCATCATAATGCACTACTACCCTCATGTGGGCTCTACTAACATCTCGCTGCCATCTCCGTATTATATACCTTTCTGGAACTGATTTGACATCATTATGGACTAGTACTGCGACCGTATGTCTGCAAATAATTCCTCGAAACTCAAAATTGTGACAACTGCAAGTGATTTCACATTCGTCTCCTTGAAATGAGACGAAAAAAGTTTTTTTCTTCGAATGCTCGTCATGTAGTACATCCTCTCATATCTCATAAGTCGTCCCCTATAGTCCCTCTGAAACAGATATGAGGTCGCAATAAACTTTACCTGTTAACTCCTCTTGAACTTCCTTGAATTTTAAAATTGTGTAAACTACTTAGAATTGTTTCTCCGTTTCATATCTTGTTGCACACGGCACCATTTGTGAGAAGGACTTGAAGTCCGCTAAATTCTTTCTCAATCTTACTTTTCAATGCACGTTTGTATTGTTCAACAAGTTGCTTCAATGTCGTCTTCGAATGTATATAACCATAAAAAAAATGCATTCATACTCTTATTGCGTTGAGTTGTTGACATCCCTGCCCAAAATGTGGTTTTCAAAAAGCAAGGTACCCAACGTCCCCTGTTCTCATACAAACCCGCCAGCCATTCATTATCATACAAGTTAAACGTTTCGATCATCACTTTCCAGCCATTTTCGAATTCTTCCGCAGATTGACAATCATAGACCAAACCGTGTATATTACTAAATATGGAACCCTTATCTACATGGTATCCAAACTTCCCAGGCAATTTTTAAGTGTGTACCATAAGCACCATCTATGTTTTGTATTGGAAAAACACAATCTGTATTACATTTTGCATAACTCTATCTTGGTCTGTAATTATCCCATGTGGAGCTTGTCGATGCATACATTACAACCATGTCCGAAATAGCCATACAAATGTCTCTGTATCCTCATTCGACACCAGACCACATCCAAGGAGTGTCAACTATCCATGGTGGTTCACTCCAACAAAAGGGGTACGTAGTGTCGAACGTAACACTGTCATCGAACTCCTTATATGCTTGCCTACTCCTATTATCTGCCTAGAAAACATTCTTTAGACGTAAATCGACATCCAAATTCATACTAAAGTAAAAGCCCGAGCATCGTGCTTTCATTTTAGAGAAATATGATTGTATTGCTGCTGCATCCCCCTCTCCAAGTCGTAATCACCTCATTTTTTCAACATAGTTTCAACAATTCCGTTCGATGCAAGTCATATTTTCATATCCACCTGCTTCAACAACTGTAGAGTTGTAACTCTTGTGCAGCGGAATTCCTACCATGTCATTTACTTCAAGTCGTCGTTTCACATGTGCACTCAACTCTCGGTTGCATCGATATAGTCTAGATTTCGAAGGGCTTGTCTTGTGATTGTGATCCAGGTGTACTGTGTTAATTTTCCATACTCCATAAATATATGAACATCCAGTGATCCTGACTTTACATCCACTCTGAATGGTTGCTTGCGGCTTTAAAGAATCGCTTGTATTTATGATTCTCTTCCCTTCACGACTACAAACAAATGTCACATTTCTCAATACTCCATCATCATTCTTTCTCGAATTATTTTTTTTCTAATTGGGAAACAAATTTTGTATGCATATCTCTTGTAAAACTCAAAAATTTCATTTGCATCCTTAAATTTCATATAGATCTCAGGCGTAATCGCACCATCTCCAACTAACATATCATCACCCCAATATGCTCGTATTATCCACAACATTTTCATCATCAGATTCCACCGATATAATGTCATCTTCATATTCTAAAATTTCTTTCCCTACAACAAACAAATCAATTACAATGTCGAATAATGTACAACAATACAACAATTTTCCCAACGATAATTCAAAATTAAAAGTACCCAATAATCGGGAATCTATTTATCAAACGGGTAAGAAATGAGATTAAAAAAAAAAAAAAAAAAAAAACCACATGAGCTAATCACACAACCAATTCCCTAAGTATTACACCAGAGTCATGAAGTCATACTATTGCAAAATAGTAGAAATGGTTGAGTAGCATTATTGTTTACTATTTTACCAGGGTCACATCAGGCGTAATAATGAAAAGCCCCCTGTGGCCCGCAGAGCACATCTTCAAGTGATAAAAGGGGAGGATGGAGAAATCCAGTTTTCCTTGAAATTACTGCGTCAAGAGTTCGAATCCTGAAATATGGTTTTGGCTCTTGAGTAAGTGCAAGTGTACAAGCAACCTTCCACCCTGTACCTTTGGAGGCATAACCTGCGATTTACCTTTCTCACGTTACTTCATGACAGAGACGGTGGGACCCTTAACGTTGGGGTTTAACCATTTTTGAAAAGCCCCGTGGGATAGGGCTCCAAAATTTGTACCGAGCAAAACGTCTTCTACCTCGTTAGGGTTTTTGCAATTGTAGCTGTCTTCAATCTATACGAAGAATTAACGACAAGGTAAAATTCAAATACGCTTCGTTGTGGGCGAATCTAGTATTCCCCCTTTCTGGTCGCTTGCTTTTGTTTCTCCTACTCGACCCAATTCAATCCCTTCTGCCTTCCTGTTGCATCTTTCTGCATATTATTTTTCAGAATTGGTAGAATTTCTTTGATTTTCTTATTTGTATATAGCGTTGATGTGCGTAGGTGAAAAGAAATTCTTTGCTCAGTGTAGGAATAACTTGTATGTTCATGCATTTATATAACGTCTATTTGGGCGAGTGAAAATTAAATCCTTAAAAGGGCTTTGTTATATTCTCGCAGTTTGGCTAAAGAGAATATGGGTTCCTATGTTGAAATTCATAAACTTATATTCGATTTTACATTCCTAAGAGTAAAAATGATATTTTTAGCTATGACTTCGCTTAGAACAACTAAGCCGTATTGAGAACTGTTGCATTAATAGTTTTCTTCATTATGTTCCTTTCATTGCTAATTCTATATCTGGATCTAAAGCATTTAGATCCTTTACAATCAGTACGGGCCATGTTAACTTTTGGTTAATCCGACGTGGCTTCTTGCTTGTAAGGGACACCTCAACAAAGTTCATATAAAATTTCATATCTCAAGACGTGACAAAAAAATGTTGGCTGTCAGCCTAAGATTGAACTTCTTGTGTTTTTTTGTAGTAATTTATCTAAGGAAAATCTAAAGCACAACAGTTTCTTTGATACTTGCCTAGTGTAGAAATTGATATTCTCGTTTACTAGAATAAGGAAGAAAAAGAATATGCTGTTATGCTACAGTCTAATTTCTACAAAACATTTATGGCTGAATTTTGCAACTGCAGTTATTTCTTGCATTTAATAATTTTTCTGTTTCACTCATTTGTGCTGTGCATATATAGTTGTAGATTAGTGCAGGTATTTAGCCACTTCATATCACAGATTCCTTTCGTATTGTTCGTGGCTTGCTGAACTTTATAGTTGTATGTTGTAAATTTGAACGTCATACCGTTATTTCTGCGCTTAGTCGAATTTGCCACTATTAAGTTCTGCATTGCAGCACGTACAGCTCAATATTACAACATTAGTTGTATGTTATAAATGGTTTACTTCATAAGATGCTGCTGAGAGATGATATTTTGTTTTGATGGCATTATTAATTGCTGTTAAGGGCTTCCTGGTTATATGTATGCAGCTTGAAATTGATTTTGAATGGATTTTGAGGATTTTTTCCTGTTTTTCATTTGTTGTCATAGTAGACGGAGCTGCTTTTGTTGGTTGCCTTTCATTTATCAGCCCATCTCTTAATTTTCACCAGTTTACAAAGAACATGATTGCTTGAATATGTTGCTGCATTTTTTATCTTCTCCATCTTTGATTTTCCTTTACAATTATATATCGGTTGGGTGCTCAGTAAGGTATAATTTGGTTATCTATAGACAAAATGTTAGCTGATTTTTCATTTCTTTCGGTATGCTGATTGATAATTCTCCATATGCTTGTAGTCTCCCATTTAGTAAGAAGAAATGAGTGGGACTGGAGAGAAGGTTTCAGCTACTACAAAAACTCCAGCTGATTTTCTGAAATCTATTCGTGGTCGACCTGTTGTTGTCAAATTGAATTCTGGCGTTGACTACCGAGGTCAATCATTTCTATTCTCACCTTGTTTCCATTGATAATGTTTTACTTTTTCTCAATTTTGGGCTTAAGCATTTTTTATTCTACAGTTTTATAATGTTTCTATCAATTTGCTATATTTTTTCCCTTCCTCTTTTGGTACTGCTATCTATTGGGTAGTATATGTCATTGTTGCACCTTTGCTCCACTATGAGGCTGGGGAAGCAGCTCATGTAAATCAACTATTTGTGCATGAAAAGTTTCTTGTATCTATTTCATTTTTTTACTTCCCCTACTGCCCTTCATTTGATTGAAAAATTAATTTCTGGTTTTCAGTATATGATCTAAGGATGAGTCACAAAACTGTATGTCTTGTGGAGCATTTTCAATCTTTTGAGAGACCCTAGTCGTGCTGTTAATATTTTTCACCCCTCCGGCAAAATGATAAAGGATGATGTGGATAAGAATGGAACCATTTACAGTTTCAATTTTTTTGGGATAATATGGAAACAGTATATTTTCTCCCTTTTCATTCCCTAAGTTTCATTGAAGCTGTCTTCATACAATATGATCTATGTGGATGAACATCTGACAATCTTTTGTAGGTATCCTTGCCTGTCTGGATGGATATATGAACATAGCAATGGAGCAAACTGAAGAATATGTCAATGGGCAATTGAAAAATAAATATGGGGATGCATTTATTCGCGGGAATAATGGTAACTACGTATTAGAGTATTGTTGTTTTTTGGAGTCGATACACATTTTTCACAAACTGATTGATAGCTATTTTGAATCTCTATGCAGTGCTTTATATCAGCACAACAAAGAGGACATTAGGTGAAGGGGCTTAGTATCACAGATGTTCTGAGGACACGAATCTATCATAATTATGTTTTTCATATCAAAATTTCTGTCGATTGAGCTGTTGTGTAATACAGATTTAAAAGGGTTAGACCTCGATATTCTTTTGAATACATGTATCCTAGTCTTGTTTGTAGCTTTTAAATTATTGATGTAAAAGTATGTAGGCCGGAATTTGATAGGCGCTTGGCATTTGAATTGCAGATGGTTACTTGTACACAAACCCAACCCAAGCCTGAATGAACATCTTAAAACTTTCCTCGCGTGATGGCTGCAGCATTTTTAATCCTAGTGTCTCAACCCAAATGTAGTATAGAATACCTTGACAATAATACCTCTAATCTTGACCTTAGAAGTGTATTCGTTTCCTACCAGTCGTATTCGCAGTTCTAGAAACAGTCATTTCGAATCTGAACCTGAGCGGTAACGTATATGAACTTCTGCATTGCAAAAATCCATTGGTGATTGCTCATTCATCTTTCTATATGAACTACATTTAAGTAAACAATATAACTCATACATCCATAATTCAACACTGTCAGTGTTACGTTATTTATTCTCTACATCCACTTCTATATACACTTCCCTTTATTCTATTTGCGTTCCAGTTTTTAGATTCGATCAAGGCCGCTAAAATATAGGCCATACTCCATTCTAGTCATAAAAAACTTGATTGGCGGGATGAGAATGGTCCAAGAGCATTCTTTGTTGCTATCACTTTGCTTACCAAAAGTTTCCACCTTGCCTCGTCTTTCTTGTTTTGTCGCTGCATTTTCTCCTTGAAATGTCTGCAATTGAAATACACGAAACAGAAGAATAACTACACACTTCTCAAATCGAATGACTTTATACTTCATAAACAACAATGCAAATAAACATACCTACAAAGAGGAACCTTGCAATAATCGGGCTCATTGCACGTGCGTGAATGCAATTCGAGAAGCTGCCACATGCGCTTGCAGTGTATACATCCACCAGGAACTTTAGTCTTACAACCCGAGAAATGGCGGATTAGAGTCTCAAGTCCCTTGCAAGCTTGAAAATTGCAGATGACCTCATTTCCTTTCAGCACTTTGTCACGTGGCCCGATAGTCCTGCATCCATCTCTGCAAATGTGGAGCAGAGCCTCCATTGCCTCGTGCAGTTGCAGATACACCTTTCTCTCTTCAATCTTCTTCAATCTCTCTTGTTTTCTCTAAGACACAAAGTTAAAACTAATATAGGTTATTGACTGACAAACTATGGCGTGAAATCATAAACTTACTGTGCTACTCGGGAAAAATGTGGATACTGAAACTCCCTTTATAGTACAAAATTTGATAATTTAAAGAAAGTTGATACAACTTCAAACGACAAACAGTAGGATCAATAATTCATCGTACGAGAACGTCAGATGGGACATTGAGAATCCATTTGACATAACCCATCAAAACAAATTTCATAAAACTTACAAGTGACAATGAGTGTGTGTAAAAAAGATACTGTTACAGTGATATTAAGTAATGCAGATCCCTATAAATTGCACTGCTCGAAGTATTAGTAATATATACATGAAATTACACTTCAATCATGAGATTGAAACACGAAAGTTTCAACGGAATAAGTCAATAAGACCAATTACTTACTGTATCCGCTTCAACCACCGATTCTAAGAGTTCTTGTTCAAGAGCCGGATTAGCACGCTTCATTACTTTCCATCCTTCCGTCGACGATATGGATTTGAAGTCCCTTATTATCAAACGCAGGCAAACCAAAACAAGCCGTGGTGCATCACAATTCCTAGCTAATTGTAGCATATCTATAACATTTTCTTTGTTAAGCCAACCCTGTTCCAGGTGGTGTATACAAACTCTTTTAAGAGATGGTACCATGTACGTATGTGACAAAACCAGTAAATGGAGAACATATTTCTTCATCTCGTATTCTTCATAGCTGCATCAATATACAAAAGTGAGAAACTACATGAGATAAACTCACAAGAAAATGGGAAGACGAAAAGAAAGTGTTCCAGCATACCAAGATGAATAGAGGTAACGGACAAACGTGCAAAGACCATCATAAGGTACCCCAGGAATCTTTAAATATCTGATACCATTCTTAACTTTCAGTTTCTGCAGGAGGTTCCCAAGTATAGGCGATGCAATGCCCTACACAAAAACGAAGAAAAAAGCTAAGAAAAATGAACAAGATTTAAGGTAAACATTTTCAAATCAATTACTAACCAGAATGACATGATGAGCTGCAATAATCAACCCATCCTCTGTAATAATATGTACATCTGCTCCATATCCCTGTTTGAAGAGCTTGTCCCATGCATCTTTTGTTTCCTTTGGAACACAAGAAGAATCTGCTAGTCCTTTATGCTTTATCATTTTTGTACAAACTTTACTTGGGGGCGGAGGAGGTTTAGGAATATCATGATTATAAGCTGTCGAAGAATTTGGAATCTCAACAAAATCCAAAGTCTCTGCCAAATTTCCTTCCCCTATGTGTATGTTGAAAGATCGATCAAAAGACTCCATAAGAGATGATGACCAGGGAGTATCAAGATCCATATAAGCCATAACACCTATTTTATATATGTAATGAGTGACACGTCCAGCAAGAGCCTGTGTAAAATTAAGAATACAAGCTCAATAACCTATAATCACTCTAATGTTGATATAAATAGAAAAAGCTACAAAATCAAACCAAATGCTTAAATTTCCAATTGGAATCTAGGAAGCTGCTTTAGAAAGAATCATTTCTAAAATGCCTAACTAGAGTCGTGCACTGCACTCTGAAGTCCCCTAATAACAGAATGCTGTCACGAGACAGCATTTTTCCTTTGTTCTTCACCCCCAACCCACCGATAAAAGGGTGAATAGAAAAGTACCAAACATAGCTAAAATCAACTTATTAAAATAACAGTTGACGTGTATGTCTCATTGCTAAAAATCAAAGTTCGTAAAGAAAAAAAGGAAGTGTCTCTTGCATATATATTTAACATTCAAGAATATATCGGAATATAAAACGAATAAATTTTGTATGTATGTGTATATCTTTTTGCTAAAATTCTAAATTCTCGAAGAAAAATGGTAGTACCTCTCACATATATATTTAAAATTCAAGAATATATCCCTTGTCATATAATACCAATGCTTTTTATTACGAATCAACTCCATTGACTCTGTTTTTGATGATGTATAATAAATAATTGAAAAAAATCCATTTCCATCAAACTACTCCACTCCAAGTACTTTACAAAAGTGCGAAAGCAAAACAAGAACATGAAAAATAATCAAACTAAGAGGAAATCTCAACTGGGATCCCATACAAATGGTCAACTCGTTTGCAGACTACCATGAAAATGATCTAATTATCGTAAATTCAATTGTGACTAATTACAAGCACTTTGGATTTGCTTTACTCAAATACAAGACAAGCAATTCACCACTCAAAACGAATAATCAGTTAAATCATAGATACAAAAAATTTGCACAAAATGGACTAAAATGGATGTCCCAATCATGCCGTATGATAAAAATTCAGCCAAAAATCAAGATTTAGGCGATTTATTCCAATGAATTACACAGAATATGGTTATACCCTTCACTGTCACTGATAATAACGGAAAGAAAAAATGGTAAGAAAAATCAACCATTAATACAAGAACAACACTTTTTCAAGCTTATACACACACAGATATCCAGATTATTGAACTGCAACCCCAAAAATGAAAACAGAAAACACTCGATACACTTCGAGATTCTGCAACAAAAAAAATAAAATAAAGGAACCCAATTTGAATCTCACCCGAACAACAGAGAATATCGGATTATTGGACTGTGATTCTATGTAGACATTCTTGAAAGAAAAGGAAAAAGAAAAAGAAAATTCTAGAGAGGGAGACACAGAGGTGTTCTGATTAGTGTGAAGGCGGTGAACCAGTGGGTGTGAAATGGTTTTCTCTTGTATTTTTGTTCGTCTTTCAGAGGATGACGTGTGGGATTTGCATGTTCAATATTCAATGCCCATATTTATTAGTTTTCTCCAAAATAATTATGACAACACAATCATCAGCTGTTGCATTTAATGTTATCAGAATTGATGATCCTCAATACGAGTTTTGTTGGAACTATGTCCTACTTAGGCGTTCGAGCCCTTGGTCTAAAATAACAATATAATTTGAAATAGTAGATTGATAGAGAATATATTTTAAATTTTTTTAATTTACGTGTAATATTATTTTAATAAAAATATGTGGTATAAAAGAATAGGGAAAAATATATTTTGAAAAAAAAATGAAAATCAAACAGGATAATTAATCAAAATATATTTCAATTTTATTAGATAATTAAAGGACCCAATAATTAAAATGTCTTGTTCAATATTTTAATCAATATTAAGATAATTCACGCGAACATGGTTATTTAGGTTGGCGACCTCCATTACACTTTAAAGGGTCGTGGCCTGAATTTGGTTCAAGTGAGTCAAGATTTGCTGTTCTATTTTGTTGTTCATTCTATTGTTCACTTAATTAATTCTTGATATTTCATCAATAATTAATATATTATTTCAGATTTATTTTCATTAACTTCACTATTAATATACTAAATTAGTGATATGTCAAGAATTAATTGAATGTACTGCAAAATTTAATAGCAGATCTCTGACTCAACTCAAGCAGCATACGTTGAGGTAGCTGATTGAGAACGACGGGGGGAGGGATTTTGGACATGCTACAGAATGGAACTCATTGGCCGGTAAAGTAAAGCAAATTCTAACCAATAAGGAATTGAGAGGTGGAGAGTGAGATAGACAGCTCTTGTTTTGCTTGTGAGAGCGGGCGGTCATTATTAAGTGGGAGAAAAAGCAAACCAATTTGTTAAAAGATACCAATATTTTTAAGGCATGTTTGGTAGAATGGAAAATCGAGCAAATGAGAGATTAATGGATGAAAATTGTCAAGAAAACGTAAATTCTCCCATTATCATTCAATACTTTAAATGTAGAACTAAACCGTAACTGAATCTCTCTCTTCGAGATAGAGTTTGTGCCCATCATCGGTTATTAAAATTTTGCTCATGTTAGGTATAGATTAAAATCAGATTTTTAGTATATTTTGATAAAAGTAAATGTAATGTGTAAATGAAAAATTGTGAATCTCATAAAATATTAACTTTGATTTGAGATTTTTCTTCACTTGTAATCCACGAAACCTTGTTTTCACCCTTTGAATTGTTTATTTAAATAGCAGAATTGTTATAGGATTGAGTCCAAACATGCCATAACTTTGGTTCAAATCAGTCGTGCATATGTGTTAGGCCCCACTGTGACAAGTTGTTTTACCATGGATTTCTCGTGTGGCTCACAAGTTTCTGTTTGAATTTACATTATTAAAGGGAAAATACTTATTTATTTTTAAGTAAGACAAAAACTTTTGAGACGGCCGGTCCGTCCGGGGCGGCCCTAAATGGTTCTTAAATTATTTTTTTACGATTTAAAGATAAAAATAAAAGAGAAATATGGAAACTTTCAAAAAATTATGAAAATGAACTTTACACTGCTGCCTGAATTAATTAAAAAGATTTCTCTAGGGTCGTCTACTACTAACGGGACGTGTCCAAATCAAGGAAGACTAAAAATAGGAGCGACGACAATTTTTTTCCTCCCACGGGGATGGAATTATAGTCATTGTTATGAATTTCTCAAATCCGTCTTGACAAGGGTGAAGCCAGAAAATTCTTATAGTGTGGGCATAATTTAACCCACGTCAAATATTGAGTTTTGATCATGAATTTAATAATGATAAAGTTATCAAACAATTGCGATAATACTAAAAATGATATAATTTATAATTAAACGTATTCCTTGCAAGTTTTCATACTTTGATATCGTTGTACAATAATGTTATTATCAAGTAAATGAAAGCAAAAACAAGTAACTAAAAGCAAAAGCAAGTGAAGTCCAAATCAACATATGCCTAAAATCAAGCAAAATCATGGGTCATTGCTAATATTAAAAAAAATAAAAAATTTATTGGGTTTGGGCCTAAAAATTCAGTACGGGCATATGTCCGCACTGGACACAACAAGGCTTCACCCCTGCGTCTTGACTCTTTTTACTTTAATTATATATATGTATATATTTTTCAATTTTAATCATAGTTAAAAATTTAAAAATATTTTCACATAAATAAATACTTAATTAAAAGGGATGGTAAATGGAAAACTTTTAATCATGCTCCCATCTATTTGTCATTTCTAACTAAAAATGAATGTTGATACTACAATATTGGTAAGGATTGGGATGGTGGTGGTGTTCGAAACCATGAGGCATGAGGGTCTTGTTATAGTCAAAGTTGGCTCAAGTAATTTGGGAGACATAGGCAATAATTCAAAGGATATTTTCAAGAACATTAATAAAAAATTACATGGAGTGTACGATCACTTATAAAAATTTTGTCAGTAATGACTGACGATATGACAATTCGTGATTATGATTAAAATCAATATTTATTGGTAAATCAGAGGAATTATAAACAAGGATCAATTAGTGATTGTCAATACATATAACATATTCATCACCGATTATCAATGATAATTTTGTCAATTTTATTCTTTTAAAAGATATTGATAGATAAGTTAAAATAACCATTTATTCTTTCTCTATAATATTATCGACTTCTACATTATTATTTTTTTCAAAATTTATTATTTTTTTCAAAATAATTTTTTTATTAGAATTTAATTTTTATATTTCATTTAATTTATTTGTTGGCGAAATTTTCTTCAGTAAGTTAAATTTGTTAAACTATTTATATTTCAATATCACTAGCTAAAAAATAATTCATAATCTTTCATTATTTTTTGAATAATATTAACTGCCGGCATAATTTTTCAGAAGAAAGTACAAATTATGTAAACTTTAAAAATTGGGAGCCTTTGACAAATAAAGGGACTTGTACAATCACCTAACTCGCCTAATGCTTGAATCGGCTCTGATTATAGCAAGCTTGTGTGGATTGTTAGAAGAGAGTCTAATTGAATTATATATTTATTTCTTTTTGGGACGTTTTTGGGGCTAGACCAAGTGTACTATAAATACAAGGTTCTTCTGTCAGTTTTATTGAAGTATCATTACTGTCCAATTGTAATTCTCTCCATATTAATAAAATTCGTCGTTCCTCTGCTTAATTCATCTTTTACTTTAATCTTGTTCGTGGTATTTTGCGATTTTGTATTATACTTCAAATTGGTGTCTATTAAATCTCAATTATTGCGTTTCGTTTCCACTGGTCCTAAAAAGTGGTATCAGAGCAGGGTTATTGGTGGATTTGTGGCCCTAAACTGATCGAAAATTGGTCTGAAAATTACCAGAAAATCAGAAAACGAATTTGTCCTTTTTTTCGATTTTCTACCGGATTTGTTTGTGCGTTTTTCGGTGAAACTACTTACCTTTTGGAGAAACGAACACCACTAGTGGATCCAGCAGGCAGAGACGGTCCAGAAAGAGTTACAGTTCGCCGGCTTGTGACCGGCCGGTCGTCGACGGGTGGAACTCCGGCAAGGAGCGTGGCGGCGCGTGAGGGGTTTTCCGGCGACGGTGTCTTTAGGGAATTTTCTCCGGACGATGAGACGGACTTTGTGGTGGTGTCCAATTTCAGTTTTGGGCAAAATTGTGGTTCTGGACTATTTTGTCCATTTGCACGTTCGAAAGTTTTCAGTTTTAGGTGTTGTAGGTTCTTTGTGATTTGGTTGAGATTTTTCAAGGATGAATTCGTTGAAGTATGAAATTCCGCTATTGGATCGCAATACAAGATTTTCGCTGTGGCAAGTAAAGGTGAGAGCTGTGTTGACGCAGATCGATCTTGATGATACTTTGCTAGGTTTTGATAGGATGCCAGCAAACTTGTCTACGGAGGAGAAACAACGAAAGGATCGGAAGGCTTTAGCACAAATCCAACTTCATTTATCCAACAATTTGCTGCAAGATGTTTTTGAAGGAGAAGACAGCAGCTGCTTTGTGGCTCAAGCTGGAGTAGTTGTGCATGACAAAGAGTTTGACGAGCAAACTGACTCTAAAGCAGAGATTGTATTCTCATCGCATGGCGGAAGGAGGGTCACTGCAGGACCACCTTTCTGTGTTCAAGGAGATCGTTGCAGATTTGGAGACGTTGGATGTAAAATATGATGAAGAGGATCTAGCCTTGGTCCTGTTGTGTTTGCTACCCAATTCTTTTTTGTCTTTTCGTGATACTATTCTGTATAGTCGTGACACGTTATCCATTGAGGAGGTATACGACGCCCTGTTCTCAAAGGAGAAGATGAAGCTGTTGGTTGGAGATCCTATATCTAGGAGTGGGGATGCTCTTGTTACGCATGGTGATCGACGGAGGGGTAGATCGAAGGTGAGGTACAACAATGTGTATTGTTATTACTGCAAGAGGAAATGACACATCAATAAAGATTGCGACAAGTTGCAGGGTAAAGATGATTTACATGCAAATCATGCGGGGCAATTAGGTAATTCGAACGAGACTAATATTGCTGAAAATCTTTGTGATGATGGAGATGTGATGTTGGCTGTATCTGACATGGAATCCAAACCTGAGGAGTGGATTCTGGATTCTGCTTGTTCGTATCATATGTGTCCCAATAGGGCCTTGTTTCAAACATATGAGACAATGAAGTAAGATGGAGTTATCATGGGAAACAACAAATCTTGCAGGTTGCAGGAATCGGTAACGTAAGATTGAGGTTACGGGATGGAACAGTGAGGACACTTGATCAGGTTCGCCATGTTCCAGACTTGACAAAGAATCTCATATCACTAAGTACCTTGAATGAAAAAAGGTTCAAATTTTCTGGTGGAGGTAGAGTCTTGAAAGTTCGAAGGGGTGTCCGGGTTGTACTGGAGGAACGGAGGAAATCCCAGTTGTACATCTTGCAGGGGAGAGCAGAACGAGTTCAGAGACATTTGGATAAGTTCAGTACCGTGGTGGACATTCAATTTGACATAGTACCTCTCATGTTTGGCTATGGGTCAGTTAAGAACTTTGTTCAAGGGAGTGTTGGTGATTCCAGTTTGACACCAATTTTAGCGGGTACACTGTGTTCTTGTAATGTCAATGGACTCATGGAGCGTAGGTACAGTTTTGGAGATGTATGTAATGCTTTAGAAATCATTGAAGGTGACAATATTGGCAAGGGACCTTCTGATCCAGCATGTGGTATGGTTTCTGCTATAGGGTGTGCTTCGACCTTGTTTGGTTAACAAAAATTCCTTGGTGAAATTTCGGGAACCCGGGTTTTGGGTTCGGGTGTCGCTTGTGGACGTCGTGTAGAGGACGATGGTTTGGTGGTGGAGAGTTCGATTATTGCGTTGATCGGTTCATTTTGTTGCAGATGGATTTGAAATCTAGGAGTTTTGTTCGTTGTAACAGAATTGGAGTGAAGGTGGAGATTGTTAGAAGTGTGACTCAAATAGGAGTCTAATTGAATTATATATTTCTACCTTTTTGGGACTTTTTTAGGGCTAGACCAAGTGTACTATAAATACAAGGCTCCTCTATCAGTTTTATTGAAGCATCATTGTTGTCCAGTTGTAATTCTCTCCATATTAATCAATTTCGTCGTTCCTCTGCTTAATTCATCTTTTACTTTAATCTTGTTCGTGGTATTTTACGATCTTGTATTATACTTCAAATTAGTGTCTATTAAATCTCAATTCTTGCGTTTTGTTTCCACCGGTCCCAACATGGATGTACTCACCCCACCCCACCCCACCACACCATCAAGAATGCTAAGCAATCTTAGAGGGCTTTTTTGTTGCCAAAGCTTCGAGCTAGAGATCTCAACTATATTAATGTATTGATGACAGTAAAAGATTTCACAGGGCATGTTGCTCGCAAATAATGTTGAATTAGTGTTAATATAAGAAATAAAATGAAAATAGGTAATAGAAAACTTATGAACAAGAATATATAGATTTACGAGAAACTTGGATAGAAAAAATTACGGATAGAGGAGGAAAAAACTCACCATATGAAAGATGAGTACAAGAGATAAAGGCTTTGGGTGGTTTCTCCGAATAATATATTGAAACCCTAATATACATCATATATATGTACACGAGCGCGCGGGCGAGTGAGCGCGTCCATACTCTCATAATTTTGGTTTCACCACATATGTCGCACCATGAGCTTTTCAAGTTGAGCCAAATAGAATTCTGGTGACCATACAACAATTAACCTTTCTAGGTTTACAATGATCGGCATGCAACAAATTGTGTAGCTTACATTTTACTAGATATGCTATTTTGGTTTTCACTCAATCAGAATTGATTTAAAAACTTCCATGATGCTACCAAAAATCGTACATGTGTATTTCCTGAGCTTGATGATTCGGATTGAGCACGATCGTAGTCTTCTGGTACTTGAAACAAAGGCAACGAGGTGTGTTCTCGTCGCCCCTCCCATACTTAAGTCAGAAAGGGAATTACAAGCTTGAGACTATAAACTAGAGAATAATGAAAAACGAACCTGAATAATGGTTCAATGTTCTATTTATATAGAGGTAGGTAGTGTACTCCTAGTAGGATTATGCCGGTTGGATTTTTTTATCCAATGGAATCCTATTTGTAAGGAATGTCCTACTCGTAATGAAATTGTCTGACAAGTGGTGTAAGAGTTGATATAGAATTCTTGGGTGTTTAGGTGTTTGTTTGTTAGGCACCTAGGTCTAGAAGGTCTGTCAGTGAAGTATGTCTGGAGAATTATTCTCGAGGACCATGGGGTGATGTTAATATTCGTATGAGTTTCCTCGAGGACCAAAATACTCGAGGTCTCGGAAGATCCCGAGGACATATGGCAAAAAGGTGAGTGGAGCACATATGGAGTCCTCGGGTATACCAATATTGGTATCATCATTCCCCAATTTCATTTTCGAGTATGTTATGTTAAGATACTAATAAGAATTACTTTTGGAGCCTTTATAAGGGGGGAAAAAACTAAAGAGTTGATAAATCATTCTTAAAACAGGATTCCTTGAAAGTTTCGTCCTTAAGTATATATTTTTCGAATATGAAATCACAAGACATTATCAAATATATTATATTACATGAAAGCGTACCGATATTTTTAAAATTACCAACATATCGTTTTTACCTTGTCTACCTCATTCTATATATATATATATATGTTATGTTAAACACTATTTAAAGTACTATTTTGCCGACTAATAATCAAGACAAAGATGTTATTCGGTTGATCCAACATAGTTTGTCTTGTCACTAAATTTTTAATAATTATTTACATCAACTCTTGTTAACAAATAGAAAATATTAAGGCCAAGGGTAGACCTTAGGGGGTCATAAACAAAATTTATAGGCTACCTTCTAATCAAAAAAAGCTAAACCTTTTTTTTTTATTACAAAATCTAGAGGTCACTTGACCCTGCAAACCCCTCCGATCTGCCCCTGATTAAGGCAATACGCTACTAGTGACGTCAACTTTAACATATGTCTTCTCGATTATTAGAAGAGTTGATGTACCAACGTGTGAAAATTTAGTGAAGAAACAACCAAATCGAACAGCTCACTTCGTGCATTCCTCACCCATTGTGCGTTGCCGTTCGGTATCCACCCATTCTATCAAGACATTATCCTAATTTCCAAAACTTCAGGCCAACCGCCAACCTTCTTATATATGCTCTCCTTTCTTTTGCATTGTAAATTATCATACATTTGTATGTGTATCAGAAGAAGGAGACTATTAACACAAAAAAAATGGCATCAGGAAGTGGAACTCATATTCTAGCACTTCCTTTTCCTCTGCAAGGTCACATTAATCCTATGCTACAATTATGCAAAACCTTAATCACCAAAGGCATTCGTGTTACACTAGTCACAACTGTTTTCATCAGTTCATCACTACAAATCCAAGCCTCCACCACCAGCAATCTCATTAATATCGAGACAATTCCCGATGCCGCCGCCACCACCAGTGAAGGCGACGTCTATCAGGTCTTTATCAACAACTTTAAAGAGACAATCACTCAGGGATTGCCTCGACTCATC